CACCAGCAGTACTCCTGCACAGCGGGAGGGGAGGAGGGGAAAGAAAGGCAGCTGCAGCCCTAACGGACCAAACTTCAGTCAAACAAGACTCAACACTTTTATTCCTGATTTAAACCAGTGATCTTGTGAGCAACGTTGGTTTGAGAGAGGAGTAAAAGAAGCCATTTTTGTGAAGAAAGACCGTCCATCATTAAACAGAGGTGGAGGCCTCCGTTTTCAGTTGTCCTCCTCCCACAATGCTGTTATTGCAAGTATGACTCCGCCCCCTGTGAACAATGGGTGATTATCAGGGCACTAACAATCTATTGTTAGGCTGATGGTCCTCCTTCACATGTGAACAGACAGTGTTGATGCTCACTGTTAAACCTGTTCGTCCATGTGGGGGCAGTTCTTATAAGGCTACATGAAACTCCTCAGACTGAAGAAGGTTTTTGGAGGAGAGACGAAATGTTTCATTAAAGAAGAACCCGTCCAGAGGACCTACTTAAGTTTTATTTTTATTTTTATTTTTTTGCTACCTGGATTACTGAGATGCCTCAGGACACTTATCAACGTTGCAGCTGTAATTGAACTTAAACTGTGATGATCCTGACAGTGACAGAGTTTTAAGCCGTATTTAAACTGTATAATGTCACAAACATGTAGGCTGATATTCAGTATTACTTCCCCTCGGGACACACACCAAACACACACAGATATGTTACGGTACACAAAAAGAAGCAGCAGAGCCTTATCAGAGCAGGTTTTCAAATGTCATGTCCCTTCTGCAGTCAGAGGTCTTTATGGATATCAAAAGACAATTTAATTTTACTGAACTGCCATCAGCAAAGCAATGTTAAGGTCATGATTTATTAATACCACCATTAAAAGTTGTAATCTGTTTAGAAAATGTCACTAAATGACCAGTTAAACAGCTGACACTCAACCCAAGCTGCAAACCACTTAAATCATATTTATATTCATCATACGTGACTTTAAACATAAGAAAAAAATCAACTAACAAGAAGGACTCTACGATGACAGCTGACACAGCTTTCAAATAAAAACTAGATGTTTTCAAACTAATATTGTCTGCAACCAAAAACAAAAGGGAAATAATGTTTTTGCCTGAAACAGTGTTCACATTTCTCTGTCACTTAGAATCCCACGAATGACTGGATGGATTTTAATGAAGCTCTCAGAAAAAGATCAATGACCTTTGAAATTAATTCAAATATGGCTGCCACACCTGAGCAACTTTAGCAAACATAAAAATGCAGGACCAGCCCGTGGAATAGGCAGTATAGACAAACACACCATCCATTTAGAGGGCACCACAAATGAGGGTTGAAAAAAAAAAAACCAAAACATTTTATAACTTTTTATCAGAGTATAGTTGATTTAGCCTATATAATAATAGAAAACAAAATAATAGTAATGCAAGTTTAATATCTGATCTCAGATAAAGTTCAGTCTGTTCTACCTTCATAAAATACTGATTTTATTTATTTATTTATTTATTTATTTATTTATTTATTTATTTATTTATTTATTTATTAATCCCAACAATTTAGTAAAATGCTCTTCAAATAGCTGGAAAATGCAGCTTTGAGAGATCTATCCTGCCCCCGGACCCCCCAGAACTGCATCACCCCACGTGAACAGATGTTCCTCATATTGTCAGCATTGCTGGCAGGTATTCTGTTTCAAATGCTTCATATTAACGATTTTAATTGGACAACCTGGTTTCTAAAGATAAAATATAACATCAAAGACAAAGCTATTTAATTTGGTGTGAATGTTTGTAAATTGGTAGTGAGATTTAGAAAACTGCACACCTGGCGCCACCTGAACACCAAATTGGACTGCAACTGCAAAAAATGGCTCTGACAATGCCATATTCATGATGTTGAACTAAAATTTGATGTGTTAGTAGCTGAGACTGATCCCCAACTATTACTCCAAAATATGTTTTTAAAACTTTACCTCTATCAGAGTCACACCTGTCTGTTAGCAAAATATCTCATTATCGAATCAGTAGAGTTCGAAAAACCTCTTAAAAAAGAATTACTGGATGAACATCTACGACTGATTAACTTTCAGCATTACCCGAATTTAAGACAGCTGTCCCAAATTGTAAGAAATATTCGTGTTCAAAGACTGAAGACAGTAGAAAACCACCAATGTTAAATAATATGATTGTTAGACGAGATAAAGCCATACAAAGCCAGAATTCTGGAGTGAGGATTTAATGCCATTCGGATCTGACAGGAAACCACACACTGCCGGTCAACCCGGAAATCGATCCATTTATACAGAGTCTTCAATGTCCGCGTTCGCGCCCTACTGACCTACGGCTGAATCACAGGCATTCAAACAAAAGTCTCATCTGTTGTTATTATAACATTTTCATTGTGTGTTGTTTAAAATTCGGACATGTAACTAATCTATATCAATCAAAACATAATAGATCAAACACTGTCAACATTATAAAAAGGAAAACCTAAAAATATATTGTGGTGCTTTTAACATCAGTACTAACCTCTAATAAATATAAATTTCTTCAATCCCCCTTTTCCACATGACCAAATCATGTGAATTAAAATAAGAAATTTATAATAAGCCATATGTTCGCATTAAGGCACAAATGTGTATGCAAATTACCCTAAGCGATACAGCACAACATGGAAATTTTCTAACATCCCACCCCTGATATAAAGTAATATGRTCCATTTATTCCACCCCAATCAAAAAATATAAAAACATAAATTGTACCATTGTTAAATACCAACCAGGTGAGCTGTGTTTATTCTAATCAGGGCCAGAGGTTCCAGAACGTAGCCCGCCGTTGGAGACAAGTCCTCAGCACTGTCCCATCTCCGCCTCTCTTCCACTTCAGACCGACCCAGTTAATAACAACATCTCTGCATATCAATATTAGACTATTTTAAATGTCTGAAACTTAATCCCATTTATGGATGTAAAGCTAAAGTATGATGTGATTGTAGGTGAGTGGTCCTCAGCATGTCTAATAGTAGAGCTTATAAGATAATGTTATTTACAAGGTTTGATCAAAATGGCAATGACATCATTTTCATCGTAAGATAATTCTAGTTTAACAGTCAGAAATAAAAGGCAATTGGCAATTACTGTAGGTTAGAAGATGCCAGAAGTCTCCAGACTGCCGAGCTAAGTGACGCGTGATTTTATCAGAGTAAATGTTAAAGATCTTTCCGAACTTCTCTTCATGGCACCGAATCTCGTCAGCGTCGGAGCAGGTGTCAGCGTCTCCGCTGCGGCCCCCTGAATGTGTTTTGTCGGACTTATTCATGAGGTTTTCATGCTCTTCATAATTACACTGTCAGCCTRATAAAGGAGCTTTCACTTGGAAAAGTTCAGCAGGGCTCAACACATTAACTAAAATAATGAGTCTGCTGCGGAGCGAGGGAAGCTGCAAAGATGACACCGAGTGACATGAGATGGTGTGTGTGTGTGTGTGGGGGGGGGATGAGGAGGAGGCGCCGACACGAAAAGAGCAGGAAGTTCAGACATAAAGGTGGAATCTAATGTTGGAAGGATACATGAGTGTGTGCTGGAGTGTGTGTTTGGGTGTTAGAGAGAAAAAAAAGATGAAAGCAAAATGAAACTCTCCCAATCACCTGTTGTCACCTATACAACTTTCATAACTTCAGATTTATATAAAAAAAACTAGAGCTGTGAAATTAATCAAGTTAACTCTGTTTAATTTTAGTGCTGCATGGGCATTGATTGAAAATTTTAATCGTGATTAATCGCAATTAAAATTAACAATCACTTTACTACAGCTGAATATGTAGGTTTGTATATTGCAATGCACTCAGTGCATGCCAGGTCATGATTGTAAATGAGAAGTGGTTCTCAAACAGTTTACCTGGATAAATAAAGGTTAAATAAATTAAATAAAAACTCCATGTGTAACACATTATGTACAGTTTTTTCTTTTTGTCTCCTTATTTTATTGTATTTATTTGTGTTTTGCTGACAACTGTGACCTTAGTATCTATCTTTCATTCCTCATGACTCATTTGGAATGAAAATCCTTGAATTCTTGATTTRACCTCATTATTCTGCACAAAATTTACCTGACTTAAATATGTTTGGAGCATTTTTAGGTCCTGTTTTATATTCAAAAAAGCGTGTCCAAGCATCGATTTTGTTTTCTAGATAAAAACATTAAAAACTAATTAATAACTCAAGTAATTTATTTTTATCAATATGCAACAGAAATGCATATTAAATTTAAGATTAATCATGATTAATTCACAGCTACATTGGGATTAATCAGATTAAAAATATTAATCATTTGATTTGATTTGATTTATTGATTTAACAGGAAAAGATTACTAAAAATCAAGCCTGACTCAGCATAATTGCTGTTTTACAGCAGGTTCCTGTTCTGCAGCACATAAAACACNGTATATTGCAATGCACTCAGTGCATGCCAGGTCATGTTTGTAAATGAGAAGTGGTTCTCAAACTGTTTACCTGGATAAATAAAGTTTAAATGAAGAAAATAAAATGAAAAACTCATGTGTAACACATTATGTACAGTTTTTTTTCTTTTTGTCTTCTTATGGCGTATCTTATTTTATTTTATTTTATTTTATTTATTTATGTTTTGCTGACAACTGTGACCTTAGCATCTATCTTTCATTCCTCATGTAATTCTCATTTGGAATGGAAATCCGCTAATTCTTGATTTAACCTCATTATTCTGCACAAAATTTAACTGACTCAAATATGTTTGGAGCATTTTTTAGGTCCTGTTTTATATTCAAAAATCATGTCTAAGCATCAATTTTGTTTTCTAAATAAAAGCATTAAAACTAATTAATAACTCAAGTAATTTATTTTATTAATATGCAATAGAAATGTATATTAAATTTAAGATTAATCATGATTAATTCACAGCTACATTGGGATTAATCAGATTAAAATATTAATTATTTGACAGCCCTAAAAAAACACCATTAATTACTCACAACATGAACCAAACATGTCAGTTTTTGTGCTTCTCACCCATTAAAGACGATGTAGCCAGCTCCCCGATGTCATAGTGGCTGGATTTATCTGTTACGGTGCCGTTAGAGGGATTCTGACCATCCTGCACAAAAACAGAAGGTATAGTTATTCTAGTGTAGAAGTTAAAAAATGTTATGTTTTACTGAAAGTAATTTTTCATTTCAAGAAGGAGAGCAATGTCAATGTCAAATTTATTTATATAGCACTTTACAACATGCATAAAGCTGTACCAAAGTGCTGTACAAGAACAACATAAATGACAAAACAGAGCAAAAAACAATACATCAATTAAAWGCCAAAGAATAAAAATGAGTTTTAAGAAGCGATTTAAAATGATCCAGGCTGTGGGCAGATCTAGTCTRGAAAGGTAAATTATTCCATAAAACAGGAGCAGCAACAGAAAAAGCTCGATCTCCTTTCCTCTTAAGTCGAGTTCGAGGAATTGTAAGTAATAACTGATTATTTGATCGCAGGGTTCTGGACACAGACTGGAAATTTAAAAGGTCCCGAAGATAAGGGGGGGCTAACCCATTTAAAACTTTAAAAGTTAACAAAAGAATCTTAAAATCTATTCAATAAAAGACGGGTAGCCAGTGTGAAGATGCCAGAATTGGCCTTATATGGTCATGCTTCCTGGTTCCTGTGAGAAGCCGTGCTGCTGCATTCTGGATCATTTGAAGTCGCTGAATCTGCGATTTATCCATCCCTCTATATAAAGAGTTGCAGTAATCCAGACGAGTTGTCATGAATGCATGGATAAGTCCTTCAAAGTCCTTAAAACAGAAGTAAGATTTAACTTTTGCTAAAAGCAGAAGGTGGTAAAAACTGGATTTGACGACAGAACTAACTTGTTTATCTAGCTTTAAAGAGCTGTCAAAAGTAAAGCAGTCTTTTTTTTTTTTTTGTGGCCTTGAATGAGACGTTAAACTGAACTTGACGGCTGATCTATTTAATGCTTGGTCTCTAAGGTCGTATTCACACCTGATAGTCCCGTAGACTCGGTTCGATTGGGGACCAAAACCGCAAGATTTGTTTACATTTTCAGTTGCTGCAGTTCCCATTCACACAGAACTTTGTTAAACAAACTAAACCCTGCGAACAGCCTGTTGCACCTCCTCGCCTGTGGGGGYRCTGCACCAAGAGCAACTGAAGGAATCGACACGAAAACCTCAGAAGACATGGAGCAACTTCCTTTTCCACAAAATGTAAACAAACATTGGAGATAATGTCTGATTTTACTAGTTTTAGGATTTTTTTTATTTTTTGGGGGGGCAAATGTGCCAAACAAAGTCTTCAACAATGAGCTCAGCGTGAGAGGAAGATGAGGCGGAGCCACAGAGAATATTGTTTCCCACACAAAGAAACTGAGACGCTCCATGTGAGGAGGTGTTCACCGAGAAGGAGCTCATCCAACTTCACAGCTGTGATGTCCACCTTATACAGACATCAAGCGAGGTATTTATAAGATATGAGTAACTTTATTACTGTTATTACTGCGTTACCTGCTTCCTGCTTTTGGAGCTGCCTCTGGTCCGCTTGGCATTCACACATGCACCAGAGTTTACTTCAACCAAACTGAGACCTGGGTTTTCAGGTGGACCAGAGTTCACACCTCCCTACAAAAAAAACGGACTTTCCAGGCAAATGAACCAGAGAGTTGGATTAAAGCGGACTAAACTGGGCTGGTGTGAATACACCCGGTCATCCTCATTGCCTCTGTCAGCCTGACCCAGCCCCCAGGGCAGCTGTGCAGAGGTTTATAGTAACTAAGTACATTTACTTTGTTACAGTAGTTAAGTAATTTTTTGAGGATTTGTAATTTTACCAATTATTTCTTCAAACAGCTGTTTTTAGTTTTATTCTGTTACATTTTAAAGCTAAAAATGATACTTTTACTTCTTCACTTTAAAATGTAACACCTACTCATTACAAAATTAATAACGTTCGAACTCATCACGAAAGATGTTTCTGCACTCTAAAAAACAAAGTGTTGAATTTACTCAACAAAGTCATATCAGCTGGCTCCACTGAGCCTAGTGGAGTAAATTGAGCAAAGAATATACAGCGGGTAAAATAAGTATTGAACACGTCAACATTTTTCTCAGTAAATATATTACTAG